ACTTACGTAAATCACGAAATCAACCAACTAGTAATTGACAAGTTTATCGGACAAATTTAAACCGGCTAAACCAGAAAGTAGAAGCTCATTTCTTCACATTCCGATTAGCCTGATTTTTAAAACTACTTATAACATCATCATTTGTACCGGTAGACTTTGGTATCAAACCTCTGATCCTCTCTCCACCACTGGTGAATCCCATGAGCTTCTTTAAAATCCCTCGACGGATTTGAGTTCACCGTCAAAACCGAAGAAGGAACCAGATGAACAGGTCCTTCAGTGTTCTTTCCTCCGCTCACAATATCCACCAGCAAACCGCCCAACGAGTGTTGTGTCGCTAGCCGCTCTACAAAACCGACCCCCATTTCCTCCATCTTCTTACGGTGATCGAAGTAACCGATATACTCCGAGCACAAGTGGTCCCCGGGGTTGACATACAGCCGCGGAAACCAGTCGGATAAGGCAGCAAATGGGTCGACTGGTGCCGGTAATGCAAGGTGGTTTTGGCTGCTGTGTTGTTGGGTGGCTTTTTTGGCTAGAGCAAGTCCAGCTGTGATCACACTACCTGCATTTTATATAGGAGCTCGAGTCAAACTCAAAACAGTCTACTTTCTAAGACGAAATGCTAAATTTATATGTAAAGGGTTAGACTTTCCAGTTATTCAGTTTGATCCCTGCACATATTGAAGGAGTTGGTTTCGAAGATTTAAGTTACGTACCTGCGATGCGAATCCCGTGTTTGATCCTCTTATCCTTGATTCTTTCGATAGGAGCAGACAAAAACGGCGGATTGAAGGCGAAACACTCTGGAAAAACTCCGGTTCTAGCGACTGTTTTCCCAGTAAGCAATGCCATGGATGCACCAAGAGAATGACCAGCAAGCCACACATTCGAGGCACCAACCGAAGCCACCATATTTCTCACAGCTTGGATAGCTAACTCAAATCGTGTGGTCGTGTGAAGACCGTTTCTGATAATGTGGATGTCTAACTCAATGTCACGGGAAATAGAGTCCGCTTTTGTAACCGTTCCTCTGAACGCAATTACATAGCGCGGACTTAGTTCCCCGGATTTGATAGTATGAGAAGGTGGCTGAGGCGGTTTGTACTCGTAAATTCCTCCAAATATGGAGAAATCCGCATCGTCAACTAGCTTACGGATGAGGCGGAAATGGAAAAACTCAGACCATAATGGAGATAAAGCAGCCTCAGGACCATCCCTTTGTAGCTGACGGTCACGCTCAGCTACATAGATTCCTTGGACCAAAGAGGCAGCTACAGATCGACGATGATGTTCATTAGCCCTGCAACAATCAAACAAAACAAACACTTTTTCGGATTTTCAAACGCAAAGAGAGGATTATTAGTTTCTAAAATCCAATGGTTGGTGCCAAAACATTGTAGCCTAAACTCAAGAATAAATCATGAACACAAAGAAAGTTTCAGTTACCGACAAAACAAAAGTTGAAGATTAAGAGAAGAAGATGCGAACCAATCTATAGATGTTAAGTGTAGTGGACCAGTGAGGCTGAAGTCATCTCTCTCACAAATCATTGCTTCTTCCTTCTTCCTTCACCATGGAAGCAGCAGCAAGTGTTAGTAATGGTAAAGAAGGCGATTGTTGAGCTTTGATTTAAATCGCGTGAGAAACCCAAATCGATGAAATTAGTAGAATTGAACTCTACAAAATGGCTAAAGACCAATCGAAATTTGAATAATCACCATTAAAAACTTGATTTTGTAAACAATGTGTAATGAGGAAACCCCCAAACACAAAAATAGAAGGGAATCAATCACAAGGAAGAAGAAAGATGCAGATTCTATGGGGAAAAAGAAGATACAGAGTTAAGCTTGACTAACCTTGCGAGGTGGATTCAGATCTGGAGTTTGGTCACAATCACATTCACAGTGTGTGTTTTGTTTTATAAAGGAGGTAATTTAATTGAGGAAGAGAGTGTGTGGTGTGGGGAGCAACTACTTTAGCTTCAGAAAGAAACGTTTCAACTATGATATCGACTTGAAAACGACACCGTATCATCTTTCCGTATAAATCTAAATATTTGCTTTGTATATTCGGTAACAAATTTGCATCTTCTTTTCATTAGATATATACCTGTCATTTTCTTGGATTTACAAAGAACAAGACTTGCAACAATCTTTATCTCTTTATTCTTTTTTTGGCAAACGTTTTGGGATCAAGAACAGGAACCACACCGACTTAAATATATAGAATGATTCTTTATTGTTTTTTCCCTATGAATATAACTTATAATATGTGTAGACAAATACATTTTAGAAACCAAACAAAAAAAAAAAAAAGTGTTAACGAGGAGGAATCAGAAATCTTCAAGCTTCAGGGGAGGAATCATATCCGTAAGGGTTATTACTGGCCCAATTCCACAAGTCTCTGCACATCTCCTCAATCCCGTATTTAGACCTGTGTTTTGTTACAAACCCAAACAAACATCATTTCATAAAAAAAAGTTTATTTTCTTGTCACTTTAAGTATTTTTTTTATTTCTTTTATGGGTGAAACTTACTTCCAATTCAACTCCCTTTCTGCTCTTTCTGTCGAGGCGTAAACAATTTCAGCATCTCCCGGACGGCGTCCAGCCATCACCAGAGGGATTTTCTGATCAAGCAAAACATGGAAAGTTCCGAAAACATGAATCCAAAGAACACAAGAAAGCTCTCAGATTCGCGAAAGAAGCGCCATGTTTTTTTACCTTTCCCGACGCTTTTTCGAAAGCATCGACCATTTCCAGAACAGATGTTCCATTTCCAGTTCCAAGATTGTAAACTTCACAGCCTGAATATAACAAACAACACACAGAGAAAAATTAGAGAGTTGAGATGATTGATTCACGGTTGAGACGAGGAACAAAAAGAGTAATATTATTATGATCATACCAATCCTGCAATCTTCTAGCTTACGCAGAGCAGCTATGTGTCCATCAGCTAAATCAATAACATGAATGTAATCACGAACCTGAACAAGCAAACAAAAGACAAAATGAGATCAAAATGTATTTTTTTTTTAAAACTTCTTCTTGTTTACGAAATCATAGAGACATATACCCCTGTTCCATCTTTTGTATTGTAATCATTTCCAAAGACAGTGAGATGAGGTCTACGACCAACAGCGACTTGTTGAACATAAGGCATGAGATTATTTGGAACACCGCGAGGATCTTCACCAATGTGACCACTAGGATGTGCACCAACAGGATTGAAGTACCTAAGCAATATGATCTTCCAATCTGAATCAGAACCATACACATCGCGGCAGATTTCCTCAATGAATAGCTAC